GAGATTAAATTGCCATTATTAGAAAATATTATTGTAAACCTAGAAAATCAGAGATTTAACCCTCAAAAAGTCATTAAAACTCTTTTGGACTTTTAGTCAACAGAAAATTTAAACAGCTACACACTCATATGTACAAAGATTTACATAGGTAGGCGGTTTGTAATAAGGAAAAATGGGTCACAATATAAATGCCCACCAGTAGGAAGATTGTAAAATACAATACTTCCACAAAATGGAGCATAACTTAGAGTCAACCAATAAATAGAATGAGAGAGCTATATCTATTTCTTCTAAATCAAAAAGGTGTTTACAATATATCATTGAAAAAGAATAAAGTAACACAGAAAAGAATGTATAGCAGTTTTCAATTGAAAAAGTATGTGTGTGTGTGTAACTATTTGTGAATTATGTATGTAGACATATCTGGAGCAGTAGTGTCAGTCTGTTTGGCCCAGTACCTAATAATGACAGTTATTTTTCAAGGTCTTCTATTAGAGTGAGGTGAGGGGTTCAAGCTATTCCCTCTCCTTGGAGAGGGTGGCAGGCAGGGGCTGTCTGCAGCAGCTCTAGAATACATCTTAGAATACATTTACTTCCAGGAGCTCTTGAAATTGCATCTTGGTATCTCTGTTGCAAGGTTACTACGCTGTGGCAGTGGTTAAGAAATCGGATGCCGACCTCACCTGGAACTCTCTGCGAGGCAAGAAGTCCTGCCACACTGTAGTTGGCAGTTCTGCAGGGTGGAACATCCCCATGGCTTTAATATACAACCAAACTGAGTCCTGTAAATTTGGTAAGTGTGTTCTGGGAGGTGGTGTGGCAGCCTCTTTCTTGGGCCTGTTCCTGTGTAGGGGAGAAATTCAGTTCAGTGAATGACAAGGAATGGCATTAAAGGATAGTGGGGCCCAGGGCTGGACAGACATTGTGGGTGAGTGTCTCCTCTCCTTGATCCATTCCTCCCCTTTCTCCTCACCTCTTTGCTTCTGAGGGGAGTGGCTAGGCCCAAAGGGTAGATCTCAGGGATAATACCTTATTCTTTATGCCTTGCAGCTGGCTCAGGGAACAAGCCAGGGGTTGCAAAGCAAGAATGATGTGCGTATATCTGTGTGTGTAATGTTTTCCCATATAAACTGGCTATTTTTTAAAATTGAAAACCTTGAGTGCTTTATCTTTCCTTTTCATCCTCATCTCTCTTAGAGTCCCATGTTAGTCAGTTCAGCGATACTCTTGCCAATACCCGCTCCCCTGCTTTCCCCAGCCATATGACAAATCTCAGCTTTGTATGAACCCAACTATCTGCTCTCTTCTCCCTTTGCACCTGAGCAGCTGAACACAGCTGGAGAATGTCACTGGGCAGAGCAGTTCGTTCCACTGGAAATGCTCCAGCTGCTGGCCTCAGTGGGCCCCTGGCACTCGGGAGCACCCCGACTATTTCTTTGCTCCACACCTCCTCACTTCCCAATAATTATTCTAATGTCCTAATTGTCCACACACCTCCATCCCACACCCACCCACCACTCTTTCTTGGCAGATGATCTCGTCTGCACTTGCAAGAGACAATTATAACTAATAGAAAGGTCCCCCGGCAACTTCCCACCGCCAAAGCCATGGCCTCCTGATGGCTGCAACTGCTCGCCTCCCTTTACGATCCAGCCAGTCCCTCTACTCGCATTCAGTGGGCCCTGCTATTGCTCCCGTCCTCAAAGCCTTATACCCTCAGTTACTACTTTTCCACAGGGGTCCCCGCACCCCACCCCAGTAACCAGGCCGCACAGCAGGAGGTGAGTGGCCAGCAAAGCTTTATCTGTATTTGCAGCTGCTCCCCAGCTCTAGCAGCACCGCCTCGGCTCCACCTCGATCATCAGGCATTAGATTCTCATAAGAGCATCAGTCAGTCCCTGGAGCCAAAAAGTTTGGGGACCTCTGCTCTTAGCATATCTTAGCAAATTCACTGTGATGTTACTTGAGTTATGACTGTTGCCCACGGACTTGGGGTCCAGGAGGGTGGGTCCGTACCTTGGTGCCCTGGAGCCCAGCATAGGGCTCAGTGGCTGGGCCTCTCAGGCCCTTTCTTGGACTTGGAGTCACAATGGCAGACCTTTTAAAGAAGGGCAGGGCAGCAGAGGTCAGAAAGCATGTGAAACAGTTTTAACTTGGCAGGGTTTACAATTTTGTCCACTCTTTTAGGATTAAATCTGTGTCTGCCCTTCCTGTGTTACGACGGGTCAGACTTTTGTGAGCTTACAACCCTTGTCACAACTTCAGCCGGTCCCCCTTTACTTAGCTCCAGCTGTACCCTTTTCTTTAATTCCATAAGGTTCTTATTTCAAGTAATATGGTACCAAATACCTGAATGTCTTTATATCATTCAGGCAATTCTAGCAACAAAATCTGAGGCTTTCTCGCTAACACAGGCAGGAAGAATTGACCTTCTGTTTCCTCCCGCTCAGGTGAATTCTTCAGTCAGAGCTGTGCCCCTGGGTCCGATCCAGACTCCAGTCTCTGTGCTCTGTGCAGTGGCAGCGGCAGCAATCCAGCCCACAGGTGTGCTCCCAGCAGCCACGAGAGATACTATGGCTCCAGTGGGGCACTCAGGCGAGTAGTGTCTGCGAACCACCTTTCTCTCTGGCACCAACTCCATGAACTTCTCATCCTTTCACCTTTGACATCATCCCAGCATCTGGGTACTGTATTTAGGAGGAACCTGAATTTGGAGACAACTTCAAATTCCCAGCGGCCCCACAGACTCAAGCCCAGCTCCTTGCTGGAGCACTCATTCTCCTGCAGACCCAGCTGACTTAGGGCGCCTGGAGAGAGGCAGTGTGATGTGTGCCAGGTCACATCCCTGGTTCTACTTTTGCTCTTTCCTTCTATGTGATTGTGGACGAGTCACAGAATCTTTCAGAGCCCCAGTTTAAAAGCAAAGAGGGGCACCCTACATGTGCGTCTTACACATGGCTGATGAGTACATTTTAAAAATAGATATTCCTGGGCTCCTCTATCCATTCGAGAAATATTTATTGAGCACCTAGTATGTGGCAGGCACTAGACCAGGTAGAGGGTTACAGTGGCAACAAGATATACACAGTCCCCATCCCCTGGATCCCCTTAGAGTAGGACGATAAGCACAAATAAAGGACAAACACTCGCTGACTGTGGTAAGTGCCACAGAGGAACGAAGGTGGGGGATGTGGCAGAGACATGGGTAAGGGACAGTTTTGGAAATGGTGGTCAGAGAAGGCCTCAGCAAGTAGAGGGACCGAGGATTAAATATTGAGAGGAAATCAGGTCTGAGAAAATCTGGAGGAAGAGTAATCCAGGAAGAAGGAACAGCAAGGACAAAGGCATGGGATGGGACAAACCATGCTCTGTTTGAGGCCAGAGAAGAAGGCCCTGGGTAGAGCATGGGAGGGAGGGGATCAGGCATGTGAGGATGCTGGAGGTGTGGGCATTAGCTGTCTAGGTGCCCTGTTGGCCTGGCTAAGGAGGTATATTTAATTCTAAGGACAACGGGCTGTGCAGAACACTTTGAGGCAGGGAGGCATGTGGTGTGAAGAATGCGTGAGCCTCTAGAAAAAACCCTTCTATTTGTCAGACCTCCAGACTACGTCGTTCCCCCCTCTCCAAAGTTTTTTCTCTTTCATAAGCCATACAAAAATCACATATTTTCACACATCCCACTACAACAATATAAGCTGAATGTTAAACCTAGGCTAAAATAGTTGACTTTTTCTTCACATTGGAAGGTGCGTTGGTATTAGGGACGATGGTCCCACTTCAGTACTATTATGATATGTCACCGAGGACCAAGAATTGAATTCCGTCTTAAAGCACAACTTCTCTTCTTTCCAAAATGAAGATGAACAACCAAAGAACAATCTTAGCTTCAAACATCTCATTCTCCCACCACCTCCCGTGTGGCTCTTCACTCTCTCTCGCTTCCTGACTTCGACAGCCCTGCATTCCTACCGACCCATGATCCACTGGTTCTGCAGACTCTTTCCTGTTCTCATCCCCTTTTATGTCCTTTTTATCCTCTGTACCCAGAATACATTCCACAGCCAACCATGATAATTATTTCCCTGTGCACATCCTCAAATGACTGTCCCCTTTCCTGGCTGAACTACAACCTCGGTGAGATCCAACATTCCACTACGTGGTGCCTGCACTTCCAGGCTGACCGGTGTCCCTTTAAAGTAACAATCATTAAATGAGCCACATGTCTCTAAGTCTATTTACCGCCCCCGATCTCCTAGAAGATGATTCCATACTTTTTCCTCTCTTCAATCTTCCAACACTTCTTCTTTCGTCTGTCAAACCTTTGTTTCCTATTTCACTTGAAAGAATTGAAGCAATCAGAAGAGGAAAATGCCACACTGCCTCAGGGCCATGTCTACCCATTTGCTGGTCTCTGCGCCCATAGATGCCGTCCTCCCTCCTCTTGTTTGGGATGACCATGCTGTCTCGTAGCTAAGGCCGGTCTTTCCCCGGCATCGATTGCCTCTTCTCCAGCCTGTTCAAGGGCATTGCCCCAGCAGATCTCCCCTCTTTTCGTCACATTTTCTTCTCGACTAGATTGTTTCCATCAGCATACAAACATGCTGCTTTTTTTTTCATCTTAAACATAAATAAATAAATAGATAAATAAAGAGATAGGTAGATAGATAGATAGATAAATAAATAAACAAATAAATAAATAAATAAAACTTCTCTTGATCTCACTTTCCTCTTCAGCAACTTCCCATTTCTCAATTTCTCATCACAACAGGATTCCTTGAAGGAGTTTAATATCCTTCCCTACTCCAATTTCTCACCTTTCAATCTCTCCAGAACCCAGTTTAAGAACCTGTTCACCTCCACCAATCCCAACCAGTAAAGCTGGTTTTATTGTTTTAAAATCACCTGCTGAAAACATGCCTCCTCATGGTCGGCATATGGGCAGGTTGTCTCCACAGCTCCTTTGCCTTGGTGCACCACCATCCACCACGCCGCTGAAACTGTACTTCTAAATCACCAATGACCTTTATGTTGCTAAATAAATCCACAGGCCAGTTCTCAGTCTTTGCATTACTTGATCTACCAGCATCATTGGCACCACCGACCACTTCCTCTTCTTGGATAGTTTCTTATTGGCTTCAGGACACTATGCTCTTTTGAATTGTGATAATGGCCCCCAATAGGTCTCCATGCATCTCTCCCATCCTCCTCCCCCACCACAGTCTATTTTCAGCACATCCACAAGAGTGATTTTGATAAAACATAAATCAGAGCATCACACTTCTCTCCTTAAAGCCCTTCGATAATTTCTCATATCACTCAGTAAAAGTAAGTGTCCTTCCTTGACCTATAAGGCCTCTTTAGGATCTAGGAAGGCGCTTGGCAAGCTTATCTCCTACATCTTTCCACTTTGCTCTCTCTGCTCCAGGCAAGTTCACATCCCAGCTGTTCCTTGAAGACATCAGATACACTCCTACCTCAGGACCTTTGTACTCGCTCTTCCTCCGCATATCATCATGCCTAATTCCCTCATTTCCTTTAGGGTTTCTCAGAGAAGTATTTCCTGGCCACTTTGTCTATAATTTCACACACACACACACACACACACACACACACACACACACACACACTGATGTGCAGACAGACCTGAGGCAGATGATAATGCTCATTCAGGACAGGGATAGTATGAAGTGAAGTAAAGAAAAGAAATAGGGCAAGGGAGCTTAGGAATATTGAATGGGAGGAATTGATCCTAGCCAAGCATAGAGGGACCTGAAGTTATGAGAGAGAGAAAACTGGAGGCATGCTTCTGATAATTAGTAAATATCAATTTCCAACTGACAATGCCATAAGATTGGTTTTTAATCGTGCTCAACATTTCTCATAAACAATGCACCTTAAACAGAGAGAAACATTTTTCAGGGGATCAAATGTGAACACATGTCTAATGATGCACATTAACTTTTATTAAGGCTGAGTAGACATATGAGTGTGATAAGACTCCATCAAAATCACAAATTCCACGCCAATTTTAATCTCTGATGTAAGTATTAATACAAGCAGAAAGTCATCCTTCTATTCTCTGTTAATAGGAGAACATAATCTCCTCTGGAGAAACTGATCAGTATTTAAAATAGAACCAAACAATGGTTCCTTACGATAGAAACTAAATAAGTAGAATTCTTTTTCATCTTATTTCCTTCTAATTCCCAGGGACAACCGGGCATTACAATTGTGCATGTGTGGAAGTGGTTAGCATTAGATGTTCCAAGTGGCCTGGGTGGAGTGATTCCCTCTCGGTGTCCCTCTCTGCCCCTTCTGTTGACCCTCCTCACTGACCTGCCTCTGGCCGTGCAGGTGTCTGGTTGAGAAGGGAGACGTGGCCTTTGTGAAGCACCCCACTGTCCAGCAGAACACTGACGGTATGTACCTGCGCTGTCCTTTCCTTCATCGGAAAATCCTGAGTCTCTCATGGGAAATCACTTCCGGGGTAGGCAACCAAGGAAGTTTATTAACTATCAGATCAGACTCCAATAACTTTAGTCTTAATATTTTTTAGGGAATGAGAAAATTCTTCATGTCTGGTCAGACTTGACGGGGGAGGTTATCACATTGGCCTTGAACCCAACTGACAAACACACAGAGGATGCAGACTCAGCACATCTGGCTCTCTTGATTTATATATAAGTGTTTGATAGCTATATGTATTGAAAATTGCCCATTTCTGAAAAAATTTGCCCTTTTACTTTCTTAATGATGTCTTTTGATGATCAGACATTCTTACTTTTAACATAGTTCAATTTATCAATGTTTTTCTTTCTGGCTAGAAATCTTTGCCTTTAACAAGACTGAAAAAGCACTAACCAGAAAGGTTATACATTTATGAGTTTATGAATGTTTCTCTTCTATTTTATTTTAAAATCTTCATTGTTTTGTTTCTCTGTGTCTCTGTGATCCTCCCAGACACTGCTGGTCGGCCATATGCCCCCAGCTAAGGTGCCTTGGTGAAAGCCATTGGCTGTTCTGGCTTCTCTCTCCCCAGGAAATAACCCTAAAGATTGGGCTAAGAATCTGAAGCAGGAAGACTTTCAGCTGCTGTGCCTTGATGGCACCAGGAAGCCTGTGACTGAGGCTCGGAGCTGCCACCTAGCCAGAGTCCCAAGTCATGCTGTGGTCTCAAGAAAAGATAAAGCAGATTTTGTTCGCAGAATCCTCTTCAACCAACAGGTATAGGCATTCAGTCCGTGCCCACACCCCTTCTCGCAGAACTGAATGCTCAGTTCACTTGCAGATCTGCACAGACACACCTCAGCCCAGTCACACTCTT